TGTCTTGAAAAGACCTGCCTGTTGCAGAAGGGCTAAGGAGACCACCAGCCTCCCTTGCTACCCAGCCATCGGGGAAGATCCTTCTGAGATGGCCTTTCATCCCCTCACCTGGAGGAAGGTTTGGTGCTGCAGGGTGCTGGCAGACTGCAGAACTGACGTCCCGTGCTCCATATCCTGCTCCAGGGCCAGCAGGTAGATGGACAGGAAAGGCATGTTGGTCTGAGAAACGAGAAAAACGCGCGACCTGAGCCCCAGCACCGCAGCGTGAACCAAAGGAGATGCATCCTCCAGTGCTGCGCTCGGGGAAGAAGAGCAAGAAGCTCGGCTTGGCTGGTAAAAGCCCCATCCTGGACTGAGACAGTGTGGTCACAAGCTGCCAAGAGACTGCTTGGAGGGAGGTCAGAGGGGGCTGGAAGGGCCCCGTGGTGTCCCCTGCCCAGTGCCTGGGCTGGAGAGCAGGGGCTGGGGCACGTCTGGCGTGGGAGCCTGCCCAGGCTCTCGCTGTCCGCACAGCCGGCAGGGCCAGGGCAGAAATATCGGCTACCGATGGAGGAGGTTTTGCGGTGTCTCGGTATTATCCTTTGCTTTGGGTTGGACACATAAATTTTGCCAAGCAAAGAGCTCTGGAGAACTGCACGCTTGTTCTCCTGGGCTCTGAAGCTGGGTCATGCAAAACGAGCTCTGCAGGGCTGCTTGCTCCTGACACAGCCCGACAGCCTGGACGCTGGGTGGCTTTGGGGACATGTGGACTTACCTCCTGACTGATGGTTTGCTTGCAGCTGTTTGCCATCTTCTGAAGCCCTTTGGCAAACTCCATCTCTGAAAGGAAAACGGTTGGAAGTGAAAGGATATACGAGACACCAGGATTTCCCTGCCGATTGGGTCCCTTTTGAAAAATAAATCAAGAACTTCAGGAGTGAAGTTCACCGCTGCCCTCGCAGTGTCTGACTCCCTCAGCTCGTGCATGTGAGGACCTCGACCCGTTCTGATGCTGCCGTGAGGGGTTCAGCCCCGCTCCGGAGAGGACCCACCCGCCGTCCTCCCCGTCTCACCCAGCGTGGTCCTTTTCTCCAGGTACCCAATGAGGTCCTTCATGTACTTGGAGATGTTTTTGGCGTACTGGAGGGCAGCATCTACCCCCCCCTCACAGCGCTGCAGCATCACGTCCACTTCCTCGGCAGGAGGACGGCCTGCGATGGGACGAGGGGGAAGGTGGGGAGAGAAAGAGGAGAGAGACACTGAATGTGCTATCGCCACTGTGTTCACTGACCCGCTCCCTCCAAACCCCTTCCAGTTCCCAGGAACACTGGAACAGCCGGGAAAACCCCAGGACAGCCTGGCTCACCCCTGCAAGCTCCGAGAGCTTTCAGTGCAAACCTCCCCGTGTCTGTGCCAGCATCGTGCTGTGCTGGTGTCCTGCCGGCCCCCAGTGCCAGCAGCAGCAGCTCTGCTGCCTTTTCTCAGCCGCGGAGCCGCGTGCGGCTCAGAACCGCGGCGGCGATGGGGAAGATGCCGGTTCCTGCCGGCCGGTCTCCTCAGTCACCCCACCACCCCAAACCCTGCACCCAGAGTCTGCCTGCTTACCTGTGTCATAGCTTTCCACCCCCGAAGGCATGCCGTCTCCTCCAGGGCCAGGGATCCCCCCGTAAAGGCTCTCCATAGTCTTTGGGAATTGGGAAAGAAAAAGGGCTGATCAGAGAAGAGGAAGGGGAGTAGTTGGAGGGGCTGGCGGATGGCGGGGAGGCAGAAACCCGGAGCTGCTGGAGCCTTTCTGGTTTTGCTGGAAATCTCCTGCGCCCAGCCCGTGGCCCTACAGGAAGCCCATGAGCTAACGGGAACGTCGCTGGAGAAATACCTTGCTCTGTGCACACACCAGACCAGGGCAGAGCTACGGAGAGCAACCAGAGCCCTGTTTTCTGCCTCTGTTGACAGAGCTGCTCCATCCCTTCCCGAGCCACACGCCCTTTGGATCGAGCTGCCAGGTGGCTTTTCCCCTCCTTGGGATAGTGAGGACAGGAGCAAGCAGCCAAAGCTCCGCCGGGCTCGGAGGTGAGCTGGGAATCCCAGGTCTGGGGCTCAGCCCATTCCCAAGCCAGGTCTGAGCGCCTCGGCACATCCCGAGACCCGCAGCATCACTGCGGAGCCAGCATCACTCACCTGGTTCTGGTCGCTGGGTGGGATGGAGAGGATGGTGCTGCTGTCCACCTCCCCCATGAGGAACTCGGACACGCTGTGACGAGAGGAATACGGTTGGGCTCAGCAAAGGGAGGACGGGCAGTGACAAGCAGGGCTGTCACCCAGCAGCACCCAACCCGCATCCGAGGGACTGGGCGAGGGCCAGGGCAGTCGGTGCTGCAATACTGGTTTCAGTGGGGATCAGCTCAGCATCACGTGGTGAGGTCTTGGTAATTCAGGTGGAGGAGCAGAGCTTGGCCCAGCACTGAAGAGGGGCAGGGAGATGGAGCCTGTGGCTCGAGCAAGCTTTGCGGTCCCTCCTCGGTGCTGGAGGAATTGCTGGTGCGAGCAGCAGGAGAGTGAATTGGTCTCTCCGGTCCCCAAACCACCCCCCAAACCAGCCGCCCCCGGGGCTGTGCGTGCAGCGAGGGGCTGGGGCGAGGGGTGGAGATGTGTCCTGGCTGGCCGGGGCGATGGGGGCCGCGCGGGGACCTTCTCCAGGGAACGGCGCTGGCCAAAAGTCCCTTACGTGCTGCTGAAGGACACTGCGATGGTCTCCACGGCCTTTTCGAACTCCCGCTTGTCCGCCTCATTGTTGGATTCGTAATGGAAACCTGGAAATGAGGAAATGCGGAAGCCCTGTTGCCACGAGCGCCTGTCCCTGTCTCAGGCATAGCGTCATAGAATCATTAAGGTTGGA